TGCAGGATGCTTCCCTCAGATGGAGAGGTACCGTTCCCCAGACTGTCTTTTGACCCAGCCCCATGGCAACAGAGGGTTTTGCCGGTTCCTCCGAAGAGATGCGAGAGCTGGCTCAACTCCGCTGGCGTCAGTGATCCGATGGCCAAGTGTAGCAGCTGAGAATGTGGTTTCCAGGCTTGGGCAAGGAGCTGTGGTCTCTGTGCAGGCGGGCACAGAGTGATCACCAGTGCGTAACCTTTTGGATCCACTGAATCTATTGTTCAGCTGTTCTTTTCTTCTGGGTTGATCTGTTTTCAGAATAAGAGCAGCGTAGTTACAAACAAAATGTGCAGAACTGGGAGCACTGAAAATTCCAAAACGAAGAAGATGGCAAAGTCCTTACTACCCCTTCCTCCAAACTCAAGTCTGGGAAACCCTGTGCATTGGGTGACACCTTCCATCTGCCCAAGGAATGAGTTTCGGAGGCACCTGCTGCACAGTGAAACAGCCTCTCCCTTCCTCTTTGCACAGACTTGAGTGGCTAAGACAGACCCTGTTCCCCTGTGGCTGGGAACATGGAAACTTCCTCACTCCATCCTCAGGTGGAGGACTCAAAAGACACAAAAAAAGGGCAGATCTGGCTTCCCGTTTTCCCTGAAGTGTTTGCGAGCAGAAACAATAACCCTATCCAGATGAATTGCAGGGATAATGTGTTGCTCTCCTTGAGATGGTAGGGCAGGACTGGGAAATTACCAGAACTCTTTTTGTTATCCCAGGGAAAGGTGGCTCCATTCCACTCCTTCCTCACATAACTGGTGAGGATCTGCCTTGCAGAGCAGTTCCTCTTCTATGGAAATCGTTTTTTTTGTCAAATCTGAAACCTCTGAGTTTTGCCGGACTCCTTGTCTGGAGGGACCGCTCAGAGGATCAGAGGCAAAACAAGGGGGTAAGAAATCGGGGTATCACCATGCTGGTTGCCAGGGCACTCCTGTGGGGTGCAGAAGCCCTTCCTTCTTCAGAAGCAATGTGATAGTTTGGGTCAGGAGTGATCTGGAGATGCTTCCCCATTAACCATGTTTTGGCTTGCATCATGGAGTGGTCCTTGACTGTGCCCCCCCATATTGCTGTAGGGTGGCACGGCAGCAGAGCTGCCCTGATGGCTTTCAGGCCATCACCCCACATGAGCGACCACCAGAGAAAATTGCATGTGATGCCCTTCCACCTTTTCCTGTACAAGAAATCAGTTTGGCCAGCCCTCGTTAAGGTCTCAGCCCCACATTCTGTATGCAAGCAAAACTATTCCTCCTGTCTGTGGGACTTACTTACAATCATTTGGGGTTTACTTTTGTGTGCTACTAGTCATAGGTGGAAACTTAGTGATGAAACCACCTCCCCAGAAGAGGACGTATCTTTTACTGCATTTCCAACGGTGGATCTGATGACCTTTTGCAAGAACAGAGCTGAATAAAAATTTACTTATGAGCTAAAAGAGGGTATTAGAGCTTAGAAAAACATGCAAAGGCAGTGGGTGTGTACTTTTAGAAGGAATCTGCGCTGTGTCTGTAAGGCAACCTCTTATACTTCACATGATGCAGACTGCAAGATGCCACCGTAGGCATTTACTGTGAAAGTCACAGACCCCAGAATTTTGCATGTGTTGTTTTTTTTCTGAGTGTCATATGATATGAATATATGGATTCCTCCTAACTCTTTGTGAGCATGAGAGGCAAGCGTGAGAGCAGCGAGGCAAGAAAGACAAAGATCTAACAAGATTAATTTGAATGCAAGACAAAACACATTTGTTTAAAAAAAACCCCTTGAAATCGGTTTCTCTTGGAATGCTGCTAAACATGACTTTATGAGTAATGCATGTTCGTCTGCTTGTCTGTTTAAAGCATACGGCTTTTTGTTCCTTGGGAGCTTCATTTGGGTGGCCAACGTGTACACGGCAAGCTTCCTACAGGAGCTGGTGCAAATACAGACAATAAATATTTGGAAAGGGGACAATCTTTGGTCTTGAGTGGAGGAGTGTGAAGAAATAGGCAGCTCCCTCTTACACTTCTCTGCAGTATAAGCCTTGGTGAGCAATGTAATGTTCTTGCTTTCTAGGAAGCAAAGACAAGGTTCAGTTACTCTCACAGCCAAATGCTATACATAGTTTTAATGTAGGGTCCACGCAGTAGGAGGCTGGATTTGGTGAAAAGGTTGGTTTCACCCTTTCATGCATCCTAATGCCCCAGTCAACCCAGTGGGACTAACAGAGTCTTCTGCTCTCCTACTTTACTGGTGTAGATTGTGAATGTCTGTCATATCTTTTGTTTTAAAAATGTGTGCCAGTTGGATGATTGCTGTGGTGAACTGAAACAAGTCCCACTGTGGCTGGCCTGCCCAATTTGGTGGAATATTTAGTGAGGAAGGTTATTCATTCAGCAGAACTGAGCAGTCCTCCAGCTCATGCTGTTTATAATTGAAAATGATTTCTGGGTGAGTGAGTTAATTATTTCTTGCTGTCTCACTCCCTTCTACCTATTCCAAAACTGTGTATTGACCTTCAGGAACAGCTGAATTTCAGTCGTGTGGTTCCTAGCATATGCTGGTTATTTTGGTTGGGGTGAATATTTACTGTTTCTCCTAGGAGGTTCAGACATAAATAAAAGTTTAGAGGACCTCTGGGTAAATATGTTCATGGTTCAGCACTTTAATGCGTCAATTAGCTCCTAACGGTGTCAATAAATTGGACCTGTCAAAAATAATAGCTTCCTTGGCCAGTCTTCATCTCCCGCTTTACCTGTGTGCTACAAGAAATACATTACACACCATCGAAAGTAGTAAAAGCCAACTTTTCCATGCCTGCAGCAAAAATTAACACAGCAAGACTGCTTCCTTCAGACTTGGGTTGCCCAGAGAGGTGGTGGAGGTCCCCTCCCTGGAAGCATTCAAGGCCAGGTTGGACGGGGCTGTGAGCAACCTGATCTAGTTAGCGGTGTCCCTGCTCCTGCGGGGGGGTTGGGCTAGATGACCTCTAGGGGTCCCTTCCAACCCAAAACATTCTATGACTCTATGATTCTATAAACAAAGAACCACCCTTTGAAATCTTCATCAAGCCCTTTTCCTACTGACATCCCTTGGGTTTTGCCCGAGTGAAGAAAAAGGAGTAAGAACAGGGCATTTGACTCAAAAGCAGGGGTGTTCCTATCACCCGAGCTTGAACATTTGGGAGTATGGTTTTATGTCACTGTTGAGGAAATTTTACTCTGGCCAGTTGGATGAGAAAGGCGGTCATCTTGCCTGGTTTTAGGTAACCGCAATCTGGCTGCTCGCTGTGGGTCACCTTAGGCTCTCCTCTTCAATTATTGTGAATGGGGAAAAGGAGGTCTTTCCTCCGACCGTAGGAGTCTACCTTGTAGTTCAGACTTAACTTACCTTGTTATAATGATAGATGCTTCAGCAGGCACAAATGACTCTTATGTTCCAACATGAGAGGCGTACGACAGCTACAGTTATTTCATTGACTATGGTATTTCTTTAGCAGATGGGCTGCAGAAGTATGGTGCAAATGAAAGAAGTCTTTCTGCATGCCAACAGATGTAGATAAATGGCAGTAGGTTGCGTTCGCAGACGGGCGGCACAGCGCCTAAATTTGGTAGGACTGAAAAAACGGGGTGTTACGTGGTACAGATTGCTTCTTGTGTGCTGCTCGTTGCTGAAAGCTGTGAATCCATGGGTTTTTTAAATATTGTTCAAACACAGAGCGGTCATCCTGGAGCTGATATGCCTCCAGCAGCAGCCAAAGTGGGTGGCAGTAAGGAGAGCAGAAGGTGGCCAAGCGTCAGTGATCGCCATCTGCGGCTTAAGGACCTGCCAGCCAGCCAGGGATTTCTCTTTAATGAATGTATCCAGTCTCTTCTGGAATCTCTGTCAACCTTTAGCATCCACGTATCCTGTAGAAAGGAGTTCCACAACTTCATTGTAGGAACAAGCGCACTTTTTGTTTTGAATCTGCTGCCTTTTGTTTTCATGAGATGTCCTCTAGTTCCTGCTTTAATGTATTAATTTCCTATACATTCAAGACTTATGTGTGGGGGGGTGGGGTGGTGAGGGTGGTGTTTGTTTGTAATTATGTAAAATTTGGTGTAATAGGCAGTGAAAACGTGGTTTAGCTCTGAACATTTCCACCCACTGGAGATCAAAGGGAAAAGAATGAATACCCTAATAGTGGAAGTACGTTTTCATTTTAAATGAGAGGTAACAACAGGTTATGAAGAAAAACACCTTGTGGTGGTTATTCAGCTGTGTAAGATTGCCGTGTTCCAGCCTGTAAACAGTGGTATGAGATTACGGCAGTCTTTTCATTTATGAGATAGTTTTGGAAGAGAGAAGAGGCAAA